GGGCTTCAGCAGACATTGACAACAACGTACCTGGCTTTCTGCAAACGTTAACCTTCCGCCCAAAAACTTTGAAAAGGGGGCTGGGGGTGTTAGTGGCAGGGTGGGGACGGTTCTTCCAACACAACCTTTGAAGAGGGGGGTGGGGGTGTTAGTGTTAGGGGGTGCTTGTCACTGCTGTCTGGTCCACGTTGTCCACGATACTGGTAGGGTGATGGTCCTGAGTGCTGGTCACACTGATGTAGGATAGGTAGGATACGATGGATAGGGGGTGCGCTGGGAGCATTAACATGGGGAAGGGTAGTGAAGGTCGCCTACCCTATCAGGACAACCACCGGCTGCCGCTGCCAGCGATCACCGTGGGTCTAGTCCTTGGCCTCTACAACACCCTGGGCTTAGATAAAAAAAAAAAAAAACAATAATAATAATAATCATCATAATAATCATAATAATAATAATAATAATAATAACTGATGCGCTACGGCCTACCGGGGGGGAACGGGCGCGGCCGACAGGGCAGTAGGACCGGTCCGGTTCCGGTTGGGAAGGGCCCCCGGTCCTACCAGGTTTACAGCACTGCAACAAACCGATTTGCCCTTGTCCTTTTCGGCGCAGTTTCGGTCTATCATCCTTGACACATGCAAATTTGTCCCCGGTTCCGTTGGCTCAACTGTGAGAAAATTACGTAAGATAGTAACCGGAGGCATACCAGGGAGATGTATCGCAGAAATGAAGTACTAGATGATTACCCAGAGGATTGAGTGCTAAGAGAACACGGTTGACAGAGCACGAAGAAGCAGTATACACTGCCTACCTGACCCCACTGGATCAGATGAACATATTCGATGCAGTGAGCCGGCGAGCGCGGCGTCTCGGCCAATGTGCAGAGAGGGTATGTGACTTGTGGAGGAAAAAGCCACAATGTGCAGTTGAAACAAGGAGTAATCCCTGGTAGAATAACACGAGCATGCCCCTTGAAGCCCTCCGTACCGCCATCAACCATCGGCTTAATTGTCGCCATATCGACCGTGCCATCAGCGTCATACTCTGGCCATCATCAACCAAGTCACCCATGCAAATGACAAGCAGATACGAGAGCTGCACTGATTCAGTAAATTGTTGTTTTCATACGTGGTGTCATCAATGTGTCCCGCTGGGTTTACAGTCCCTGGACTTTCTTAGAGGGAAAAACTGAGGGCAAACTCAATGGTGCAGAAGGTTTGAACAAAAATGCAGATTCTGCCATGGTTGTCTGCGATCCATCGAACTTTTCAACTTCCAAGTTTCAACCAAATAACTGTCTCAGAAGAGCACTTTGGCGACAAGCATAAAATTATTATTTAAAATTGCAAAATTGCAATGCGATTCTGTTTATCAGCTCACTCACTCTCTTTACATCATCAATCAACTGCCCGGTGGCATGTTTAATGAACTTCACTCCCATTCAGACAACCTTCAATACAATCGGCGAGCAGGCTCACTACTTTCGCTTTTCCCCAGAAGAGCAAAAATGATTTATTTGACACGTCACTACACATAAAGCATGATCATCTTGCACAGAGATACAGAACACACACACACACACACACACACACACGCACACACACACACACACACACACACACACACACACACACACACACATACATTGCAGGGTTGGCATGAGCAAAGTCGACCAGTTTTCTCAGCGGTACCGCTAACTCTGGGCATCGTGGTGAGTCCTTATCAATCAGTCAAATGCATCCTCGGCAGACTACCGGGGTTCAACCTCCTGATAAGTTGGTGGAAGTCCCGACTCAGTCATGCTGTTGTTCTGGAGTTGTGTATAGAGAACATGACCACACACACACACACACACACACACACACACACACACAAGAATGGACAGAAGGCATGCAACAATCGCACATAGATGGTAATAGATGGTACTGGTTCTCCTAGAGCCTGATGTCAGCGGATGGTAAACGTACTGGATACATACTGGACTCACAGATCAGAGACTCATCATTGAGATTCATCATCACGCGGTACCCATCTTGCTGGGCTAGCAAATTCATCGTCTTCAGAAATGTGGTCATTATACTCCCCGGGTACTCCTCTGCATCATCTACATATATCACAGGCCTTCAGAGACAGTAGTGTTCTAATACAGTAGATAGTTCCGCTCGAGCAAATTTGTTTATAAGTTTCACGCTCTCTTCTCACCTGGGATCACTTCTTTTTTTTTTTTATCAAGTGCTCAGACTCAGGGAGGGAGGGAGGGCCGGTATATTAGCAACCTCAGCGCAGAAGCTCATCAATGAGTAACATTGTGCTTGGACCTAAGGGCCCGGCACCACTTGCTGTTTTTCCATGCTACTTATGCATTGAGAATCAGACCAGGTTCACAGCACACTACCACAGAACAGCAGCAAGCAGGCATGGGTTCTACGTATAGACCTAAACAAGAGCCGTGGCCCTTGCGATTCCATCGCTCCATTATCACATAAATACATCAGGTCCATATACTCTACTCCATTGAGTCCATTCACATCAAAGATGATAGTCAGAGATATGCTTCAAAGAACAGCATCCACCTTTAGTAGCGTTACCCTCTTTGATCATCCCTCTATTTATGTCTCACCCTCTCTTTGTGTGCCCATATACTCCAAAGCGCAGCGGGCATACTGATCCTGATCCTCCCTGTGCCGTTTCAATTTCAACAGATGTCTACAGAGATGCTCCATGAATATGCTGAAATCAAAACTATTCCAATACGGGGCCAGAACATGGCACTCCACAAAACGTTTACGCCAACCCCGGTGCCCCAAGACGAGTGTGCTTCAGTCAACCCGCCTTCCAGCACTTTGCAAGAGAGAAAGAATCCTTTTTTTGTTTTTGGAGGACAAACGAACTACAATTCGCCAACCACCATGACCATGCCTAAGCGTAGTGTTGTGTGTTTGTGTGTGTGTGTGTGTGTGTGTGTGTGTGTGTGTGTGTGTGTGTGTGTGTGTGTGTGTGTGTGTGTGTGTGTGTGT